ATAATCTTTTTACATTGTGTGGGAGCGTATCTTAGTGTTACATCTTATATTTTTTATTCTAAATGATTTTGTTCAGATAAAACAAATAAGAACGGCTCTTGCAATTGCTTCTCTGTTGAATCGCACCCTGGTAAGAAAAATTATATATCTATTCTCTCTCTTTTATTTTTTTTCAGTCTATTTTTTGGACTGAAATGTTCTGGTGATATATTTGTGAATGAATTTAGTTTCGGATCATTAAATGAGTTTGAGTTTGAGTTTGGTTTGTTTAGATGTACCTGGGTCAAATTACAATTCACCATTAACATAAGGGTTGATACAATCATCATCATCAATTTATCATATATGGAAATTGGGGGCTTATTAATACATGTTCCATTGTGCATGCTTCATAAAATATCACAGGCAAGGCTTAGTTATTATTTTCTCGTTCAAAGGTGTAAACCTTGTAAGGACCTGCATGTCTAACAATATAGTGGGATCATGACTGATAATCATAAGGACATACATAGATATGTCTTCTAAGTTCTATGAGAATATAGAAATCTCAAATCAGATAAGTCTTGTATCTCTTTATATAAATCACGGGCTTCTCCTCTAATAATCCACTGGTTTTTGGTTGCATTGTCTAACTCCAACAAGGTGTGTGAGTGGAACAATTTATCCACATTTCGGGCCCAATTTGGCTATACATACTCTGTGTCATCCAATATATAAGTTAATCCATCTGTTTGGCTCAGACCAGCCACACATGAGGTAGTGTTGAAAATGTAAAACTCTTACATCTGGTATCCAAATTCGTGTATCTCAACATATAAAGTCTTGGGCCTCTCCACTAGTAGCTATTTGGTTTTAGATTGGATGGTTCAACTTTAACACAGTGCAATTTAAATTGGTCACCTTCGTAAACACTCTTGGGAGCAGCCTCTCCATAAATGGGGGTAAGGCTAGCCGACATTCACCTCTCCCAGACCCGGCGTAAAGCGGGAGCCTTGTGCACTGGGTACGACGACCTTCGTAAACACTATAGATACGGTGCTGTTTTGCTTATTGGTTTGGGCATAAGGATAAGGGACAAAAATCAGTCCTCTAATTAATCAAACAGCTGTGTGCTGGGGGATATGTACTTAAGGTTTTAGGGTTTAGGTTTACAAGTTTGGAATTCATTAGTTGAGATGAAATAATGCATTTTTCTGCATATGTATTTTAATCTTCATCTCTTGTATTTGTGTTTTTTTAGGTTATGCCTCCACTATGGTGCAGGTTGGATAGGCTGTGGTTTCCCCACCCTGGCGTTCTTGAGGGATCTATCACTCGACAACCTTTTATTTGCCCTCTAGATCATGTGTTTGAGGTATGTCCAATTTGTCAGAGCTAACTTTATACAGTTTGTTATCTTTGCTTCCACAATAGACAAGATTGCTGAAAAAAAATACTTGTAAGAAAGTTGCCATTCCTTTGGTAAAATTTTGTATTAAATCAGCCTTTGTACTAAAATAGCAGAATGTGTCAGACAAAAAAAAAAGGGCAGGATATGAGTTGCATTTTCCACATTGAGTCAGTTACCATATTAACTCAAGGCTCTTTTTCTGCTAGAGTTTAATTGTTTAGAGTAGTGAGTTGAAATACAATGTCATTGGACAAGAAGTAGTGATCGTATTATCAACTTGGTCCTCCTTGCAATGGGCTCAAATTCAAAGGAGAAGCCCTTTTATTTGTTTATCTCCCCATTGGTGCAGTTTGTGTAAAGCTAAGGAGGAGAGTGTTAACCACATTTTTCTCCACTGTTCTTACACGATTCAACTGGTGGAAATTGTTTCAGGAGGTTAGAGTTAGTTGGGTCATTCCAAAGGGTTGTTTCGAGTTTCTAAGCACCAATTTTGAGGCTCTAGGAATTGGAGGAAAGCTAAAGCTTTGTGGGGTTGTCTGGTGTCGGCAGTTTTTTGGAACATTTGGTTGGAGGGTAACAAAAGAATTTTGAGGATTATTACTGGTGTGGGGGTAGCAGATCTATGGGGAAGAGTAAGATAGTGGGCAGCCCTCTGGGCTTCAGTTTCGAATGATTTTAAGAATTACCCTCTTTTCTTTTTTAATAAAATGTTTTAGTTTCTTCTCAAAAAAAAAAAAAAAAAAAAGTATGTGATGGAGTCTGAATGACTATTTGAGCTGATTACTTTGTTGTTACTGCCCTTGCTAAAAACCTATTAGGATTACTAGAAGTGTCAGTTGAATTTTCTGATTGAATCTCGTTGTGATATCCCAGTTGCCATTTCTGAGCATGATTTATTGCAAAAGGGGAAGAGGGGGGGAGGGGGTGGGGGTGGGGACACCCTAATGATGGTTTAGGGAATCGGCTTCACCTGATATATTTTTCTGTATTTATACACATCGTAATAGTCAACTGGTAATACAATGGCTTTTTCAGCTAAACTACAGATAAACCAGTCGTTACTTTGGCCCTATAAAATGTTTTATTTTTGTCACATAGATACCTATGTGGTTTCCTCTTCTACACAAAAAAGTTAACTGTGGTAGTAATTAAGCACGTCTGCAGCACATGATTTTGGTAAGACGCCATCAAAATCATACCTAATCTCTACTTCTCTTCCATCAATTTTCATATTAAGTACTGATGAACGACGTAAACGATAAGTGTCATGATGCTTGAGGACAATACATGTTTTACGATCTAACCACAAGATGTGTTTCCATAATTTCCTTTTTTCTCTATCTTATGTGTGGATCCTTTTTATTATAAACATTTAAAAGGTTTTGGCTGAGCTACAAAATACTCTCTAATCCCTGATTAACAGAACATCCAATTGATTTTCTAGTTTTTTTTTTTTTTTTTCTTCACCTATGTCATTTGTCAAATCTTACATCTCGTTTAAACTGATTTAAGTTCCACTGTTTAGATTAATGGGTTTGTACAGAGTGAAGCTTCCAAGAATTGCACAAATAATTCATAGGAACATTGGTGTATCTCAAGGTCCTACTGTGAAATCCCTTCTGGAGGTGGAAGCTAACAAAAGTGTACTGTATCGCAGGTGAATGTCATGCTTAAGGAATTGCCAGCGGAGATATTTGGGCCCCCAATCGGTATTAGAGAATACTCATTCTTTGACAATCCATTGATGCCAAAACAGGTAAATGAGTATCTATGAAATTTTTGAGTCAATAGAATCAGTTCCATTGATTCTTTCATTTATGAATTTTGTTTTAGGTGAAAGAATCATGGCTTGATGTCCAGCTTTGTCAACAAGGAACGCGAGACTGCATTGCTTCAAATACTACCACCCCTTCAGGAGCACTCAGATTTCCAAAGAGAAGCAACGAAGAAACGGTAATCTGAATTAATACGTGTGTGCGTGTGTGAGTTCATTTTATTTCTTTCTTGGAAGAGTATACAGATTAATATATGTATATTTTATGTGTAACAAACCTTGTTCCTTTTAAACCCTATTATTAAGTAGTGTCTTTTGAATCCTGGTGTTCTGAGTGACTTATACGATATTGGATTTCACTTGTATATGCAGTTCAAGACAGTATTCTCCTCGTTCAAGGATGTAAAAGTAATTCAGTTTTCTTCTATGCAAGATGCATTCCCAGGTTTCACCGACAAGGCAAGTCTCTTCATCAATCTTCTTCGGCTTTTCTTTCTTACTTTGGTTGTACGTGCACCACATGCTTCGTTATCATGCGCTGATCTGACGCTTTGTGAAATTTATGGTCAGGCAAGGGAAGAGAAATTCAGGAATCGTGCGAAGCGGTATGTTGGTATATGGTGTTGTGTGGCTGAACACACTCCTGGTCACATATACTATGACATGTACTGGGATGAGAAACCCGGTTGGAGACCTATCCCTCCTCAAACCCGTGAGGACGATCACCCACCACCGTAAGATAAACGGAGCGATACGTGTACGTGTATCTGTCAAAGGAAATACAAAGACGAGGAGTATGGGAAAGTATCTGACGAACGAATTAGTTCCTAACTTACCTACATGAATAGAAACGAAGAGGACTGCATCCATGTTAAGACTGGGAGAAATAGTCTTGTGTATTAAAGAAATCTTTTTCAGGTGTATCATTCATAATCTTCATATGTAGCTCCAATAAAAGAAATGGAAAACTTTATATTAATTTGCAAGTTTATTTTTTTTCCATATAAAAATACAAAAATATTAGGCGATATTAGTTCTGCGTCAATGTACGTGTGCGAGGTAAAGGGGAAAGAACCGTTGTACCTTGAACCCTCCGCCGGTCCCCTCTATTTTATTTTATTAATAATGTGAAGACAAAGTAAAACAAGCGGGAGGATTAGGTCGAAACTGGGCCTTGAAAACAGTTGAGGAAAATGATATGTAGGGCAAGGGGAAGGATCTCGTCCATTATCCAGAAGCTGCAAATTCTGGGAGTTGCGGACCTACATTTCAAGGAATTAGGTTTGCTTATTTAATTTGATTTACGTATTTAATGAGGTTTACTTATTCAACTTGCCTTGTATTTTGTTCTCTGCATAGTTCTTTATGGGGAAGAAATAAATATGTATTAGAATTGCGTCTAAATTTGAAACATTTTGTTTAACTGATTTTAATGTAATAAATATTTCATTAATCAAATAAAATGAGGAACATCATTAATTAGGAATGGAAGTACAAACGCAACTGAAAGATAATACAATACTTAGCCCACGTAACCATATCTAAGCAAACGAAAAAATAGCACTCACAAAGACAATCTTGCATCACCTTTTAATGAACTTGCAAAAGATAACGCTCATGCCTCAAGTTAGAATGGATTAGATTAGATTATGGTACTCTTGTAAAACCAGCTGTCCTATAAACTACGTACGCATCCGCATGGCTATAAAAGTACATCCGATTAGAAGCCACATATCATATGCAAGTCAAGCACAAGCATGACTACCCAACGTCTCGCATAGAAACAGTGAAAATTCGGTGCCTGCAACCGGCACTTTTTTATTTTTTATTCTTCTATTTTCGGAAAAAGTTTTGACGGTAGCAAAACTACGTCAAAACTCCTCAATTTTTATTAAACAAGTCCAAAATTACAAGTAAACCAAAAACCAAACTTACAATTATACACAACCAAAAAGGGCCAAAACCAACAGAAAACAAGAAAGGGGCCCCACAACACTGAAGCCCAAAAAAACACAGAACAACCAACCGAGAAGCTTCTACTGAAATCTCCTCCACCGACAGAGATCCAAGCCAGCCACCGGAAACGTCATCCATCACCGAGCATCGCCGCCTCAGACAACACCGCCAACCCCGAACAGCAACCAGATCACAGCCATTAACAGGAGATAATTGGCACCAAACAGGGATTACATTGGAGTTGCATAGTACGAACAATTCGGACTTATTACATTGAGGTTACATGTCACTTACATGCGAAATTTAGTATGACAGTATCACGATACGAGGATAAACCAATTTAACATTTGATTTCTCTCCTCCCACATTTTCCTTTCACTATGTCTTATCGAAACTCAAACATCTTGCATTGGCATCGCCCTCAAATGCTCGGCCTCACGTTAAGACGAGACGCCAGTTTTTGACCAAAGGATCGGTCAGCCTGCATTTCAATTACCACCAGCACACGTCATATTCCCGTACGAAATCACATCCAACTATTACCAATTCACAAATGCGAATACTTTGCAAGTATGCACTCACCTGAGACCAGTATGAGATCCAAATGCTGCGAATTTCATGGGTGACACGAGGTTCGGATAGGACATCAACCCATCGGTGGAGGAATCGCTCTTGCCTGCAATGAACATTTAGATTATGAAAATGACGTTTAAATACATATATTTTCCACATAGAGACATCATAGGGTTGGCAGCTACCTGTCGGGTGCCCAAGATCTGTATCTCTCTCCAGGTTGCTTGAAGTTGTTCTCCTTCTCAATGACGCACTGCATATCCAACCAAACCACCATACACAAATTAAACGCAAAGTTGCTACATGAATCATGATGTGCAGTACTCCAAAAGGATTCAGACATGCAACAAGCATTCGTGCATGGCTCTAACTTTTTACATTCCAAGTGCCTTCAAGTTTCACATAAATAGAAAAACACAGAAAACAAGAACATGGGGAAAACTAAGGGAAATTAAAATGAATTCTTTTACAGTGATACAAACTGACCTTCTCACGCTTTCCAGTGCAGATATTAGAAGGAATTGGGAAGGTCTCAGCATGGCGAGCAGGATCATACCTTGATGGGAAGTAATTAACCTACAGAACAGTATGGCATCTAAGCAGAGAAAACTTCGATGAACAAAAAGCAAAAATTGAAGTACATGTCTGAATCTTGGTCAATGCAAGTGTAAAAAGACACAAAGGCATTCAATAAGCCTCAACAATCGAGGGAAAAAGTGGTATTATACTTGGAAAGGAAATTCTAAAAAGCAAAAGTACCTCCTCATCCCTATGCATGAAATTCATAAATCCTTCATGGTGATTGTTGTGTGATGAGAACACTTGGGAGCATTAACTGGGAGCTGCAAATAGTTCGGGCCAAGACGGTGCCTCTGAGTATCAGAATAGGAGAAGATTCGAGTTTGGAGCAACTTATCATCTGAATAGTAGACACCAGGGACAACAATGGCAGGGCAGAAAGCAAGTTGTTCATTCTCTGCAAAGAAGTTATCAATGTTCTTATTCAGTACCAAACGGCCAACCGGCTGCAGGGGAAGAATATCTTCAGGCCAGGTCTTAGTAACATCAAGTGGGTCAAAGTCAAATCTGTCTTCTTGATCAGGATCAATTGTCTGAATAAAAAGTTTCCACTCCGGGTAGTTGCCAGCTGCGATGGAGTCATAGAGATCCTTGGTAGCGTGGCTGTGATTAGCTCCTCCAACCTTAATAGCCTCATCCTCCAACAAACACTTGACTCCACAAGTGGGTTTCCAATGAAATTTCACGTAGTGTGCCTTCCCGGCCTTACTGATAAGAGTATAGGTGGTTAACACCAGACCCTTCCATGTGCCTGTAATCTTGTGGAACTCCCAGGTCATCCAACAGGAAGGTGAACATGTGGAGGCTTTCTGGATGGTGGGAGAAGAAGTCAAGGATCCTCCAATTCTCTTGGATGTGGGACTTAGGGTTTGGTTTGAGAGCATGGACCATGTCCGGGAATTTCATTCCATCGCGGACAAAAAAGATGGGGAAATTGTTTCCCACCAAATCAAAATTACCCTGTTTAAGAAAAATAAAGTCACGAGCATGGGTAAAGAAAGGAATGCATGTATAAACAAGCAAAAACATTAGGACCAAATGATTTCCAAGAGTTAGTTAATAATAATGTTACAAAGAAATCAACAATCTGTAGAATCAAAACAATATTTAAAAAATAAAATAAAAGGATGAATGCCATATTTCATGGAAGTCACAACACTACTGGGTTTAGTTAAATATGACTAAAGTACTTGTCACTGGAGCTGTGACTAGAGATACCACCGCATATTTTTAACTACAAATATGCTGTTGAATATAATTATGATCAGCGACGTGTGAAACTCAACTATCATTATCCAGAGGTCATAAAAGATCAATAAGCCATTGAAACCTCACCTCTCTGGTGTAAAACTTCACCGCAAAACCACGAGGATCCCTCAGGGTTTCAGGGCTGCCACGCTCATGGATAACAGTGGAGAAACGCACAATGACAGGTGTCTGAACTCCAGGGGCTCGAAGGAAGTCAGCACATGTAAGGTGAGAAATATCATGGGTGACCTCAAAGAAACCTTTTGCACTGGCTCCCCTAGCATGGACAACACGCTCTGGGATCCGTTCTCTATCAAAATTGGCGAGTTTCTCCACCAGATGGTAGTCCTCGAGCAGAATTGGACCTGACAAGTAGACAAAGAATTAAATTCTTAACTGCATCTACTCAACTCGACATAATCAACCATCCCGATTACATGCAAAAGATGTGATAAGAATGAAACTAGCGGTTATACATTTTATAAAGTATGTCAAATATAGATGACTGCTATCACTTGCAAAGATAGTAACTTTTATTTAGTTTCAGGCAACCAGACGATCAAAAAATCTATCTTGACAACCTGAGAGGCAAAGAAAAAAAGGGACCGGCAGGAATTCATTGAAAACCAACAGACTGGGAACTATAGTTGAGAAATTTAAACATAAATGCCGAATAGGGAAAGTTCTAACTTCAAAAACAAACTATATAAATAAGTAAATATATATAAATATATATCAGAAAAACAACAAGAGTTTCAAAATAGCAATCATCTTCAACTTGGTAGTGATACAAACATCCAAAAAGTCATCTTGTAGTTCACAATAACATGGACAGAATATCGATGCATACACAGATTACAGCATCAAAACATGATTATGATTATTCACAAGGTGCTCGAGAAGCGATGTGCAACTAAAAAACCACAAAAAGGTAAAACTTGAAGAAAATTTGCAATTGAAAATCCGTCAAAAGCAAATAAACAAATAGATAAATCAAAAGTGGATTAAGAATTAAATCACCTCTCGGTCCAACAGTGAGAGAAGAGTTGTTGTTCCAAACTGGAGCACCGGAATTGGTGGTCCAGAACGGGGAATTGAAAGCACTTGAAGGGCGGTGCTGCAACACACACGAAAACAAACCAACCCAAAACCATTAGAGAGGGCTTTGTTTGGTGGCCGAGAAAATAAACAAGAAAAGTAATTCAACAAGAAAATCAAACTTAAATCAATCAAATTAAGAGCATAAACAAGTAAAAAAGAAAAAACCCCAGAAAGATTAAGATTAAGATTAGCGTGTTACCCTGTAAGGATCCATGGAGGAAGGTCGGGTTAGAGAGAGAGCTTGATGGAGAAGGTAAGAGGTGAGCAGAGGAAGGGGGTAAGCCACTCACTCACTCAGATGGGGCAATCGAAGGCTGAAATGTAAGCAAATTTGGTGGATTTATAAACGCTGACTTTCGGCTTTGGGTATGGGTCGTGGGCGTGGCTCACGCTTTTGTGTGAAATTTCCATTTTCCGCTCTCGGCCTCACGTTATCTTTATCCACACACACACACAGCTGGAAGGTCACTACGTATCTTTGCCAATTTATCGTCACTACATATCTTTGCCTATAAACTACGTACGCATCCGCATGGCTATAAAAGTATGACTACACAACATCTCGCATAGAAACAGTGAAAATCGGTGCCTGCAACCGGCACTTGTTACATTTTTTTTTTGGAAAAAGTTTGACTGTAGTAAAACTACGTCAAAACTTCCTCAACTTTTATTAAACAAGTCCAAAATTACAAGTAAACAAGAAACCCAACTTACAATTATACACAATCAAAAAGGACCGAAACCAACAGAAAACAAGAAAGAGGCCCCACAACAATGAAGCCCCAAAAAAAACACAGAACAACCAACCGAGAAGCTTCTGCTGAAATCTCCTCCACCGACAGAGATCCAAGCCAGCCACCGGAAACGTCATCCATCACCGAGCATCGCCGCCTCAGACAACACCGCCAACCCCGAACAGCAACCAGATCACATCCATTAACAGGAGATAATTGGCACCAAACAGGGATTACATTGGAGTTGCATAGTACGAACGATTCGGACTTATTACATTGAGGCTACATGTCACTTACATGCGAAATTTAGTGTGACAGTATCACGATACTCAAAACATCTTGCATTGGCATCGCCCTCAAATGCTCGGCCTCACGTTAAGACGAGACGCCAGTTTTTGACCAAAGGATCGGTCAGCCTGCATTTCAATTACCACCAGCACACATCATATTCCAGTACGAAATCACATCCAACTATTACCAATTCACAAATGCGAATACTTTGCAAGTATGCACCCACCTGAGACCAGTATGAGATCCAAATGCTGCGAATTTCATGGGTGACACGAGGTTCGGATAGGACATCAACCCATCGGTGGAGGAATCGCTCTTGCCTGCAATGAACATTTAGATTATGAACATGACGTTTAAATACATATATTTCCACATAGAGACATCATAGGGTTGGCAGCTACCTGTCGGGTGCCCAAGATCTGTATCTCTCTCCAGGTTGCTTGAAGTTGTTCTCCTTCTCAATGACGCACTGCATTTCCAACGAAACCACCATACACAAATTAAACGCAAAGTTGCAATATGAATCATGATGTGCAGCGCACCAACAGGATTCAGAAATGCAACAAGCATCCATGCATGTATCTAACTTTTTACATTCCAAGTGCTTTCAAGTTTCAAGTAAAAAAGAAAATGAGAAATTAGGTTCTCATCCTTCATTTTACTATTTCATTGATTAAAATTCTATTTATTTTTAATTTTTTATCAAGATCCTTGGTATTAATAATATCATTAATTATTTCAATACTAAAATATTTTTTATTTCTAAATATATTCATTTAATGTTAAAATGTTACAATTAGTATATTTATATTTATGACTAAATTTTTTATCATATATTTTTAGTTTTAGTTTGTACCCTTTTTAATTTGTAATTCTTTTTTAATTTGTTCTAATTTTCTTTTCAATTTTAATTTGTACCCATATATTAATTTTTTTTTGTGCCCATATTTTTTAAAGTTTATTTTTATTTGTACCCATATTTTTTTTTATACTTTTTATTTTGCTAAATGTACCCATGCTAATTATATGTACCCATTCATGTAAAACTTTTTAATCTTAAAATGTACTCATTCTTAAATATACCAATTTGTTATATGTAAAATGTACCATTTTTTATATATAATCTATTCAATGTTTTAAATCCATTTTTAAACTTATATGGGTACATTCTTTTTTCTTTGATTTTAAAATGTATCCATGTCAAGTTTAATCGAAGCAATTTACTAATGTTATTAAGTCTAATATCTTTTTTTTTTGTTGTGATTTTGAAGAATGTACCCATGTTTTGATACAATCATTTTTTTGGTTAATTTTGTTGAATGTACCCATGTTTATATATATGGGCACACAATAGTATATTTATATTTTACTATTTTTAATCCCACAAATTATAGTTTTTTTTATTTAAAATCTCATTTATATAAACTAAAATTTCAAATTTTTAATTTAAAAAATATAGTAACATACATAGAAATAAATTATCGCATTGATTTCAAGAACCTCAATCAAAAATTAAAAACCAACAATTTTTAAATCAAAGAATATTCATAGTTAAGGACCGCATCCAAAGTCTCCCGGAGAAATTAGGTTCTAATCCTTCATTTTACTATTTCATTGATTAAAATCCTATTTCTTTTTAATTTTTTATCAAGGTCCTTGGGTATTAATAATATCATTAATTATTTCAATAATAAATTAATTTTTATTTCTAAATATATTCATTTAATGTTTAAAATGTTACAATTAGTATATTTATATTTATGATTAAATTTTTTATCATATATTTTTAGTTTTAGTTTGTACCCATTTTTAATTTGTAATTCTTTTTTAATTTGTACCAATTTTCTTTTCAATTTTAATTTATATCCATATATTAATTTCTTTTTGTGCCCATATTTTTTAAAGTTTATTTGTATTTGTACCCATATATTTTTTTTATTTATACTTTTTATTTTGCTAAATGTATCCATGCTAATTATATGTACCCATTCATGTAAAACTTTTTAATCTTAAAATGTACTCATTCTTAAATATACCAATTTGTTATATGTAAAATGTACCATTTTTTTATATATAATCTATTCAATGTTTTAAATCCATTTTTAAACTTATATGGGTACATTCTTTTTTCTATGATTTTAAAATGTATCCATGTCAAGTTTCATCGAAGAAATTTACTAATGTTAAGTCTAATATCTTTCTTCTTTTTTTTTGTGATTTTGAAGAATGTACCCATGTTTTGATACAATAATTTTTTTGGTTAATTTTGTTGAATGTACCCATGTTTATATATATATATATATATACACACACAATAGTATATTTATATTTTAATATTTTTAATCCCACAAATTATGGTTTTTTTATTTAAAATCTCATTTATATAAATAAATAAAATTTCTAATTTTTAATTTAAAAAATATAGTAACATACATAGAAATAAATTATCATATTGATTTCAGGGATCTCAATCAAAAATTAAAAACCAACAAGATTTCAATAAAAAAATATTCATAGTTAAGGACCGCATCCAAAGTATCCTAAAAGAAAAACACAGAAAACAAGAACATGGGAAAACTAAGGAAATTTAAATGAATTATTCTACATTGATACAAACTGACCTTCTCACGCTTTCCAGTGAAAATATTAGAAGGAATTGGGAAGGTCTCAGCATGGCGAACAGGATCAAACCTTGATGGGAAGTAGTCAATCTACAGAAAACAGTAGGGCATCTGAGCAGAGAAAACTTTGATGAACAAACAAGTGAAAATTTAAGTAGACGTCCGAATCTTGAGCAACGCAAGTGTAAAAAGGGTAAAAGGCATTCAATAAGCGTCAGCAATTGAGGGGGAAAGTGGTATTGCACTTGGAAAAGAAAATCATAAGAGCAAAAGTACCTCCTCATCTCTGTGCATGAAATTCATAGATCCGTCATAGTGATTGTTGTGATGAGCACACTTGGGAGCATTAACTGGGAGCTGCAGATAGTTGGGGCCAAGACGGTGCCTCTGAGTATCAGAATAGGCGAAGAGTCGAGTTTGGAGCATCTTATCATTTGAATAATAGATACCAGGGACAACAAGGGCCGGGTTGAAAGCAAGTTGTTCATTCTCTGCAAAGAAGTTATCAATGTTCTTATTCAGTACCAAACGGCCAACAGGCTGCAGGGGAAGAAGATCTTCGGGCCAGGTCTTAGTATCATCAAGTGGGTCAAAGTCAAATCTGTCTTCATGATCAGGATCCATTATCTGAATAAAAAGTTTCCACTCCGGGTAGTTGCCAGCTTCAATTGAGTCATAGAGATCCTTGGTAGCGTGGCTGTGATTAGCTCCTCCAACCTTAATAGCCTCGTCCTCCAACAAACACTTGACTCCACAAGTGGGCTTCCAATGAAATTTCACGTAGTGTACCTTCCCGGCCTTGCTGATAAGAGTATAGGCGTGTACACCAAAGCCTTCCATGTGCCTGTAATCTTGTGGAACTCCCACGTCATCGAATAGGAAGGCGAACGTGAGCAGGCTTTCTGGATGGTGAGATAAGAAGTCAAGGACCCTCCAATATTCTTGGATGTGGGACTTAGGGTTCGGTTTGAAAGCATGGATCACGTCCGGGAATTTCATTGCATCACGGACAAAAAAGACGGGGAAATTGTTTCCCACCAAGTCCCAATTACCCTGTTTAAGAAGAACAAGGTGACAACATGAGTAAAGTATTTGTCACTGGAGCTGCCTGTGACTAGAGATACCACTGTGTATTTTTTACTATAAATATGTTGTTGAATATAATATGATCATCGACGTGTCATTATCCCGAGGTTATAAAACATGAATAAGCCATTGAGACCTCACCTCTCTGGTGTAAAACTTCACTGCAAAACCACGAGGATCCCTTATGGTTTCAGGGCTGCCACGCTCATGGATAACAGTGGAGAAACGCACAATGACAGGTGTCTGAACTCCAGGGGCTCGAAGGAAGTCAGCACATGAAAGGTGAGAAATATCATGAGTGACCTCAAAGAAACCTTTTGCACTGGCTCCCCTAGCATGGACAACACGCTCTGGGATCCGTTCTCTATCAAAGTTGGCGAGTTTCTCCACCAGATGGTAGTCCTCAAGCAGAACCGGACCTGACAAATAGACAAAGAATTAAATTCTTAACTGCATCTACTCAACTCGACATAACCAACCATCCCGATCACATGCAAAAGTCAGAGAAGAGTTAAATCACCTCTGGGTCCTACAGTGAGAGAAGAGTTGTTGTTCGAAACTGGAGCACCGGCATTGGTGGTCCAGAACGGGGAATTGAAAGCACTTGAAGGGCGGTACTGCAACAACACACAAAAACAAACAAACCCAAATCCATGAGAGAGGGCTCTCTTTGGTGGCCGAGATAATAAACAAGAAAATCAAACTTATAAAAAAAAAATTCAAAGTAAGAGCATAGACAAGCAAAAGAGAAAAACCCCAGAAAGATTAAGATTAAGATTAGAGTAGTGCCTTGTAAGGATCCATGGAGGAAGGTCAGGTTAGAGAGAGAGAGAGCTTGATGGAGAAGGTAAGAGGTGAGCAGAGGAAGGGAGTAAGCCACTAGCTCAGATGGGCAATCGAAGGCTGAAATGCAGGCAAATTTATAATGGTGCTCCCACTTTTGTGTGAAATTACCATTTCCAGCTCTCGGCCCCACGTTATCTTTATCCACACACAGCTGGAAGGTCACTACATATCTTCTCTACAATTTGTAGTCACGAGTCGGAATGATTATTGAGAGAGAGCGAGGTGGAAGAATTCAATGTGAATAATTGAGAACGACAAGCATTCACCGTTCTTTATCCTATTTAGAAATTTTTAATTGTGACCGGAATACACAACCACTGATGCCGGGTGACACTGTCCGCTCCTACAACGACGCCACGTATACTATAAACACTTTGAAACGTGTACTCTTTGAAATTACATAAAGACTAATCCGATTCTCGGATATGCTTTGAAGACTTGAATTAGAATATTTTGGTGGTTTATTAGAGGCATCTCTTGAAGATTTATATAAAAGAGTAAATAGTCTCTTAACTTTAACCTAATTGTAACTATAGTCCTTCAAACATAATTCATTTTGACAAAATTCTGACGAAAATGACCATAACTACACGTTTTGATGAGTTGAGGGACCAATGACAATGAATTTTTAGTTGAGGGACTATTCCTACAATTTACTCTATATTAAACAATCAAAACTCTTAGAATGGATTTTTAATGGGTCAGAAATATGGTTCTGTACACCAAGTATCATTATATTATGAGATATTTTCTGTCAATTAATAATATTATGACACTAGTAGATTGAACCGTGTTCTCGACATACTGAAATGTTTATACTATTTTAAAAGGTTAAATTTAGCGACATAGTATTACTGTCTAATGGTATTCCTCCTCACTTGTAAGTGAGAGGTCTTAAGCTCAATTTTCGTTATATGAGGCTAAGCCCATCTTCTCTCTTCTAATATTGATAATATCGTTTGTTAAAAAAAAAATCTCTAATAAATGTTGTAAAAGACTATTTAATTATAGCAAAGGAGCAATCATTTTTGGAATTTAGGAAGCAATATTCACTTGTTAAATATTAAAAAATAAATAAAACTAGTGGAGTTTTTTGTTTTTTTATGAAACAAGTAGATTGGGTTTGTTAATATTAAAATATTCAAAGTCTGTTAAAATTTCGGCATAAAAAGTTAAGCTGAGTAGCTACTATAATTTTTTTGATACAGTTCACTTGCTCGTTTAACAAAAATTTAGTGCTTTCTCTTAAAGATGCTCTTAGCTAGTTTTTACAAAAACAAACAATATCACTTTGTACTACAATTTATTGATACTTTTGTTAATTATAAAGAAGGAGTATTAGTTTCGACTTCCGTAGATGACGAGTTAACAGTAAATTTTCTTAACTGACTCATTGTGTAAAATAACATAATGACCGTCACATCCTGGCCCAGGCCCCCACCACATCCTAGGTTAGCACGATATTGTCCGCTTTTGGCCCCTACCACGCCCTCGCGGTTTTGTTTATGGGAACTCACGCGAGAACTTCCTGGTGGGTTTATGGGAACTCACGCGAGAACTTCCCGGTGGGTCACCCATTCTGGGATTACTCTCGCGTGAACTCGCTTAACTTTAGAGTTTTGATGGAACCCGAAACCAGTGAGCTCCCAAAAGGCCTCGTGCTAGATAGAGATGAGAATATATATATATATATATAATATATATATATATAGGCAATACACTATGTTATCCACCTAGTGAATAGTAACTGCATTTTGCATCTCTACCGTTGCACTTCAATAGCCCTGTCAATAGGCAATAAGATATTAGTATTTTTTTATTTATAAAATAATTTTATTTGTAATTCGGATAAGATTTTTAATCGTTTTCATTGCACCACGTGTCATAAAATCCGAAAAGACAATTATCGGTGATGGATTTCCAATAAAATTTTTAATCGTTCTCGTTGCGCCACGTATCATTATCCGAAAAGTTATAAAATAATACAAAATAATTTTATTTGTAATTTCGGATAAGATTTTTAATTGTGCGCCACGTGTCATAAAATCCAAAAAGATAATTATTGGTGATGGATTTCCGATAAGATTTTTAATCGTACTTGTTGCGCCATGTGTCATTTTTCGAAAATACAATTATTGGTGATGGATTTTCGATAAGATTATTAACCAATCACGTCGCGCCATGTGTCACAATTTTTTAGGATAGATTTCCATCATTCTTGGAAGCACTCCCTTTTCTCTTTGAAGTCTTCTTACCTTGAGGCCTAATTGGATAACGGGTTGATCCCGAAGCTTGTTCAGAGGGGCGCTTCAGACACTTCTTCTGCTTCATCTTCATGAACATGCGAGGCATGATCGGGTGTAGAGTGTAGAGGGGTGTTGTTCATGAAAACTTTTGGACCGACGTGTATAACTTTGAATTTAGGACAATCTTTGACAATATTCTAACATTCCCACCGGTTGAATGATTTATTTTTACTTTTGGTTTTGGCACCATATCAAACTTGTGCTTGAAGTTGCTACACAATGCGGGATAAGAAATAATTATAATGAAAGTAGGTAACAAATAAATAATGCAAACAAATAATTATAATGAAAGTAGGCAACAAATAAATAATACAAACAAATAATTATAATGTAAATTTGGGTATAGTACAAACAAATAAATAATATATTGTTACCTAATCTGCGTAATTTTCCCCACTTTGAAGATTAGTACTAGCTTGTGTCAATGCGTCTCTCCACGTACTAAACGATTGGCTAAGTAATTTCCAATGACTGGACATCGATTCTTTGGTTCTTTTCCCACCCATTTTCTCAAGATAATTGGTATAAATAAGACTCCACATTTATCGCAACTACATCTCATTAAGCGAACTATGAGTAACTTCAACCCAGCTAGTACACAACGCAACATCTTCAATAAACATCTAATTCGTACCTGCATCAGTAGTCATTTTGTTGAAAAAAAATTGGATTGAAACTTTGAGAGAAAGATAAGAATGTGGTCGAAAGTAGTTGAGAAAATATAAAATTGTGGTGCAAGGTAGATGATAATGAGAATGTATTTATAGAAAAGTAAAAACAATTTTTGTTTTCGGATTTTTATTCATTTTTTATTCAACTAATTAATCTCTGCTGTTGGATTTAAAAAAAAATTGAATTCCAACACTCCAGATTGTGTCACGTGGCACAACGGTAACATTTTTGAATTTTAAAACTATTTTTTCTTTTTTTATTTATTTATAAAGAAGAATAATATCAACCGTTGATCTCAGATCCAACGGTTGATATTAAATAAGATTTTTTTAATTTTTTTTACCGTTGCAAATTTGACGGTCCACATTTTCTTGCCGTTGAGATCCAATGGACCATGGGAAGCCATCTGGCTTCCCAATGGTAACAATTTGAAACTGCGCCGCGGGCCCCATTCGCTGAAAACATGTCGGGTGACGCGCCCCCACGTGCGGGTGCAGTGCACACGCCTGATAGAAAAAATATAAAAAAAGGATGATGCCTGGCGATGTCAGCCTTGCGTCAGATAGCCTTCGAGCTCGTGACAGGCCTGATGCTCAGGCATGCCCTGTCCTTTGGGCTCCCACACGCTGGAGTCCCCGGGCCGTATTTGCTAGCATGTCCCCCGAGCTCCAGCCAACGCTGGAAGTGCTCTTAGAGGATCCACTCCCCTGGGTGATGTGGGATGTTACAATGACCACTAGTAATATAATTATATTATCTTAATAAAAATTAATTTAATTTATGTGTTTTTAATTTGACTAATTTAATCCTCGTATTAGCCTTCGTTAACTAATCTAAGACAGTATCCATTCATAATTCTATAAAACTTAAATAAAATTGATTATTACAAAATAAATTAAAAATAAACACGATAACCAAATTGGCAAACTGACAACACAAAAACTAAATGGGGCCAACACTATAACCTAAAAAACTCCCAAAAAATAATATTAGAAAAGTAGTGGACTTTCTATATTAGCACCTTACAAAATATTGAATGCACCCCACATTAAAATTTAATATTAAATGATTTATATGCAATGGCAAATTTGACATTATTAGGTTAAAAAAAAAATTCTAAATACACCTCAAATCATTTTTAACAGATTATTGATCTTCTTCAACTATCCAAAATCCCTTCGACGCTGCATTGTTGAACAAAACCCTAACTAATGAAACTACAAACATGTTGATTGAGAAAAATTATTTTTGACGAATGAAACACAAAATCAATTTTTCGGAAGCTTCAAATGAGGTAAGACTTCATATTTTTTATTGTTTTAGTGATTTTGACGACATCGATAATTATTTAATCTTACATTTGATGCGTTATTCAAGTTTCTATGTTCATATTCATCTTTTAAGGATCACAGAGATTACATGAAGAATTAAACATTTAAAATTACCACCAAATAGTAAAAACAGACGACATGAGCTTTAATGGTGGAATTGAAAACAGTCCACATATGCTTTAAATCCTAGGCGGCATCTTTTGTCAAAATTTCAATCGGCATTTTTTGTCCAAATTAAAAGCTTTATAAGATTTGAGAAATGTGGGGTGTATAGAAAATAAGGAAAACAAATGAAAATGACTTGAAAACTTTGAGTTTTAACGATAAGGACAAAATAAAGAGTAACGTGAATAGTAACATGTTTGACTTTAGTGTAAAAATATGATTTTTCGTTAAAGTGAACAGTACCGGGAGCTTTTCGTTAAAGTTTCCAAAGATAATTATTCATTGAAAAAAAAAAGTGAAGGTGTATTAAGTATGTATGGTTTATTCAATAATTTATGGAGTGTTAATATAATAAGCCGAAGTAGTGTGTGAAAGTTGCCAAATACTACCAATATGGTGATAAGGTTGGAATGGGCCGTGAAGTGAGATTAGCCACAAAAGCCTGTACCTCTCTGGCCCACTCCAATTTTGCTACATCAAACAGCCACAAAAAAAAAATCACTTTCATGGCTCTTGCTTCTCTCCGTAAGCTCATTTAGACTTTTCTTCTTTTTATTGGACCACTAGTGTATGGGCACTCAAAAAATGTGTGAGAAATTTTTTTATTTTTGTTTTTAAAATAGAAGGAGAGAGGAAG